ATTACGTTATTTTATTATTATCGGGTAATCGTTCGGCACCTGCTGCAGCAGCGGCGGGTACATGTACACGTATGTAATGCGGTGGAGTCGCGCCCGAAAAAAAAAAAAAAACCGCAGGTCGAAAATTACCATCCGCACTAATTTTGTCCAAGTAAAACCCTCACGGCGCGTATGGCATAACGTTAATTAATTAGCCGCCAGAAATTATAATAAAATTAACGAAAAAAGAAATTTAATACAAAGAGAAAAAAAAGTCAATGCGTTTTGAAGCGTAATATCAAACTGCATAACTGTTTATGTTTTTTTTTTTTTTTGATACGCTACCGCCCGCAAATCCCGAACGGTCACTATGTTTAATTAAAAAGTTAAAAGTCAAGTCAAGTACAAGTTACTTTTAATCGGTAATTCCAACTCGACCCGAATGTATTTTTTTTTTTTTTTTTTTTTATTAAAATTTAAGTTATATCATTCTACACAACGTTGTTTGCGAAGACGAAGACGGCGGTTGATTTGTATGTAGAAAAAAAAAAAAACCGTGTAGGTACCAATGTTTTATGCATTTACATTTCGACGAAAATAATTACGTGTTTTCTAATTAAAAATAATAATAACATTAATTTAATATCGTCGTCACGTGACGGTAATGAGGGCACGTCATGCGGCCTACGGGATACCCACGCGAACGTCGTACGTGTTAATTGCATAAGAGTATAAAATACGATCGCGGCGATAATTTCAAAAAAAAAAAAAGCGAGTTTTAACCGTTACCTTGTCCATTTCATTTTTGTAATTCGATTCGAGTTGCGCAAATTGATTGTTTATATTTTTATATCGACTTTGAGGAGCCTCTACAGTGCACGCGGTACGAGACGCATTAACTCGGCTTGGGCGGTTTTTTTTTTCACCCCCCCTCCCCCCCCGTTCGCGATAACCGCGAACGCAAACGAGTTATCGTTTCGGCGTATGCTCGAGCCTGGGCCTAAGACCGTAACACTACGTCAAATTACGTTTGTCCGTATTTCGATCGGCGTTTACCGACGTAACGTCCTCCCCGATCCCGGGAATGCTCGACGAAACAGTTATTCATTACGCCGCGACTGCGCGTATCGTGACGTTATCGCATTCGCGCTCCGCGAATCCGCCGATGGAACGACGAGCGCCCATTTAACCGAGTCCGGGCGACGACAAAGGTCGTGAACGCCGGACGCACGGGCGCGGCGGACCCGCGCGGTCAGACGAGACACCCGCGGATTCGGGCGCGACGAACCGTACACGACCGCAATCCGGCGGACGCCGATGCTGCTCGGCGGCGCCGAAACCGGCCGCGTCGAGTGCGGTCGAGGTCGGCGCGTTCCGTCGGCCGCGTGGCGTTGGTCGGGGGCGCCGCGCGGGAAACCGTTTCGCAAACGGGGCGCCGGTCCGTACGGCTTTTCTGCGCGCCCGTCGTCTTTGGACACACGGTCCGGCGCCACTGATCCGCTGTGCCGCTCTATCCGGCCCGCCGGACAAACCCCGCGGCGGTATCGCACGGGCGGGTGAACATGACAACGCTTGATCGGACCATTAAATTGCGTTTGCACGCGCCGGCCGCGTACCCGCGCATAATACCATTGCGTACGACGACGGCGCCGCGCGCAGCGTAATGCCATCGCGGCGCGAACGTGCGACCCGAGTGCGACGGCGCCATTGTTGATTTTATATTATTTACATGCGAGAGAAAAAAAAAACCGAATGCTCACGCGCGCGCGCGCGCGCGCAATAAAATCACAACGGCAATTATCAATTACGACGGCGAATATATTTACGATAATAATAATAATAACAATTTAGTAGTGTTTAGTCGACACCCGTAAGCGTACGCGCACGGTAATGGACGCGACGGTGAACAAATCGTTTCGCGAGGTGTCGAACACGAATATTATTATCGTTCGGTACGCACAATTATCGCACACGGCTCGCGATCCGATAAACTCCGGCGCTCAATTAAAACAAAAAACGCGTGCGTCGCATACATATTTACGTGCCCGTACCCGCGGCTATAGCAGTGGTTCCCAGACCTCTTCTGTTCTGCGCCCCCTCTGTAGATTTTCAAAAATCTCGCGCCACCCCTCCCCCCGCCCTCCCTTCCTCCTATAAAATGAAAAACCGGATAACCTTTTTTCGTGCACTTTACAAACAAACTGTACAATGCCCGGAATGACTGGTTTTTATTTCGATGATAGTAATTATAAAACAACAGTAAATAATAAAATGGAACAATTAATCAAGGCGAAATGTTACGATGATAAACCATTATTAAATATTAATAACGGTAAATACAAACACGCATAATGAAATTAATAGATAACCGGAAAATTGATTTATTTTTTTTCTCTACGTTTTAAAATGAAAAAAAAAATTTAATCATTAACAATAATTGTTACAATTATTGTACTTCGTAATGACTGCTTGCGCCTCTCCGGCAATGTGCGTACGCCCCTCAAGAGGGGCGCGCCCCCCCCCCAGTTTGGGAACCAGTGAGCCATAGGTATATGTATGTTATGATATTTTATACAACTTCCTCGCAATGAAATAATAAACAGTGTCGGTCGGCGTATGTATTTTTAGGTACCCGCCGATCGTTGGTTTTGGATGTTATAATTTGTAACTGATAAATTGCTGCGCAGCTGTTACGGACGGTGCCCGTTGGGGGCTACTTTATCGTTATAAGGCCGGATATATACGCGGTCTTAAAAAAAAAAAAATACCGGAAAAAAATATTAATAACGATGCACGGAATCCTTGAAATACGCTTTAAAAAAAAAAACCGTACGAAACCCTTAAAAATATGCTCTAAAACCTTCAAAAACGTCAAAATATACGAAAACTTAATATTTCCATACACGTATACAGCACCGGCAGAACGTGAAACACGTTTTGATGTATATTAACTAATTTTTTTTTCGGACCAACCAATAAAACCGCGCAAATGCGTGTAAATATCTGTCCCGCGTACGTACACCGTACAACATCGTATAAATACTTCAGTGCATAACGCAGGTACCTATTCTGTCTCCAATAGCGATCGCTATATTGTTTTTTCGTGTCTAAGCGGTGTATTTAGGTTGGTGACGTTATCATATCACCCGCCTTGAATTGTGTTTATTTTTTCGCGTATATGATAATCATATACCGTATGGATTGCCGATAAATTCATTTTTTTTTTCTCCTTTCTAGCCGCTGAAAAACCTTTTTAAAACGTGCGGGCACTGCGATTTATAAGGTATATTGCGGATTGCCCAACGGCGACCTATAATAATATAATGTCCCGCAGTGACTCGGAAAACCGACGACGCAGCCGTTAAAACGGTATGCAGCTTTTCCAGCGGGTCACGGCTCAAATGTCAGACAGTAAATTCGCATAGCATTGCGACGAAGTATTCGAAGGAAGAAGATACGGTCGAACGTCGTCTACATTACACCGACGCGAGATCGAAACATCGGGGATTGTTCCCGTTCTACTAATTTATTGTCGCTTTTAACCCGGACCGGTGCCATTCGATTTGCCTTTGGTGCCGCGGGTTTTTTTTTTTTTTTATTTTTATTTTCGTCCGGCACGAAAGTGATTTGATAAGCGATCTGATAAGGGTCTAAAGAAACTATAATACTACTGCTGAATAATTACAAATAAATATATAGTTGTGTATACCCGTAATAAATTAAACGTGTGCTTACACTGCGAAATAATCACAAAACAATATTCGATTGTGCTACACCACAATAAAAAAAAAAAATAATAATAATAATAATAAAAACGCACACGCAATCTAAATTTTAAATTGTGGATTCTACACATCATAATATTTTTAATATAAAGCAGTAATTTTTTTTTTTTTTTTCCGTTCAACACGAGAGCGGTCACGATGACCAGAACATTCCACCGGCCACACATCGGGACACAGAAATAACAAACCGGACAATCATCCAATTTCATTGTCGTATCAATACGTACGCGGTTACACATGGTATTGTGCAGCACATTTATCAACGTTATTTTACGCGAGTCAAATATCGTTTTTCTCCTTAGACCTTGCAGGGGAACAACGCGACAAAGGCAAAACCAACGAAAAGAACGGTCGTGTCTTTTTCTCGGAAATATTATTAGGTATGTCGTGACACCCGTAACACGTGCTACGGAAACGTACGCAGGTTTCAGCTATCACCGTCGGACGCGCAGTTTTTTTCCCCGTCGAAATACGGCAGCCGTATCTGCAGCGACCATCCGAGCCCGGTTCGGGTCAATCGAAATCGTCGAGAAATGAGCGCTGTAGTGTTTTTAAAAACGTTAAAATATAAGCGAAAAAAGCAATCTCGAAAATGAAAACCTAACAAAAATGTTTTTTTTTTTTTTTTTTTAATCGAAAAACCGTCGATACTGTTATATATCACGGACCGCTAAAAGCCGAAAGGGCGCATGTTCAAATTTATCAAGAAAGAAAAAAAAAAAAACTCCTTAAGCATCGAGACTTTTATGACATATACATTCTATAAAATGACTATAGGTACTTTTAAGATGGTGTTTAACACTACAGTATCATTAGTACCTAATCAACAAGACAAACACAAGGTTTTGTCGATCGTTTTTCAGATATTAATTATTTCTACAGCCAAAAAATAATTTCAAAATTTAAACGTTTTGCAATTTTCCGACAAAGTTGAAATTGTCATTTGGGCATTTTTTTGGCGATCCATATGTTTTCGGATATTTTCTTGAATTAAAAACAATACGCCCGCGGTGGTGTCAACGGTGGTCACACTGCACGTACGCTTTAGAATAAAATTTAATAACAATATTAAGAATAATAAAAATATTGTATTATCTCCACACGATCTCTGTTATTATTATTATTATTTCAATGCGATTAAGTCTGTGAATGAGTTTCGGTTTGCGCGACGCGTGACAAGAACGCATTGTACGTCAAACTAAAATATCGTGATAATTTAATTTTTTATTGTGTTATAAATTATAATAGAAGAGAAGTGTGTAGGTATGACGAGGAACCGAGGACAGTGTGCGCGCAGCGTGTACAGCGTGTGGAAAAAACGCACGAATTATTTTTGGAAATCCGGCGAACGTTGTTAAAAACGCTCTTCTATTTAGCTCTTATTTGCGTTTCTGGCGACGGAAAATAATTTCAACAGTCGTGTGGTGACTGAAAAATTGCGTGCCCGTGAGTTATTAAATAAACGGATTCTCATCATTGGCCATCGACGTTAAGCAATAACGTGGATTTGTGCATTCCTGATGAAACTGCATAGTCTGTACCGTCTGTTTGGCTCTTACCACAATGAAAATATAACGTATCTAAAAAATATGTTCTCATAGGTAATATATTAAAACATTATCATTGTTTTCCCCCAAGACTTCCGAGTGCAATCTCTACATGGATCGGATTGGTTGAATTGGTTGGATTTGTAGTGTTTTTGCTTTGTTTGAAGTACTTGAAAAAAAAAAAAAAGAAAAAAAAAAGTGAAAAACATGATCTCGTACGTATACACTCATCGTTTCGTCCGTTCGATTTCACACGCGTACCGACGGTCGAAAATCCGTCTACTCCGACCACCACCCTCCCCCCGACAAGTTTGCCGTATAATCTCAGGATCCCGGCCCGTACGTGACGAACGTCGAATACCCGGGCCGGTTTTTAAAAAACACGAGTTTGCTCGTTAAAAACTCGAAATAAACAGCTCCAGTCGTTAATTCGTTAACGGCGTTTCATACGGGCCATATGCATATCCATATTGTATAAACAGTTTTCGACAGATTCCCCCGTCTACGTTATTTTCGTTCTCGATTTCTTTGTTCTCGTATCGCTTGTGTGTCCGTATGTTCGTCTTCGGCACGGCGCGTTCGTGCCGCACGCCCACGCGTACCGCAATATTTATTGTTATTTATAACGATTTCGCGTTTTTACGCGAGATTTGTATGCGAACGGGTACCGACGGAACATAATATACAGGGGGCCCGATTGTGGGGACCACTCTCCCGCCGTCGGTAGGCAAGTACATCCTCGAAATAGTCTTATGACGTCATCACGTTTCGTATTATTGTTTTACGATTTTTTCGTGTCCGCGTACAGCCACCGTGATCTTTTCATGTACCGTGTGATCCTTTTGTCGTCCAACACTCTCGTTACCCCGGGAAGTATCAACTCGTTTCGGAATCCGTTTTATAAGAAACAAGCAGCTCTGCACTTTTACATTTACATTATTTATTTATTTTTTTTTTTTTTTGTTGCCCTAATTTTCGGGCGTTAAACGACTATCCACTTTTTATTTCCGAATAGCAAACTGTAAAACAAACAAAAAAAATCCCACAAACAGACGGGGTATTAGTTAAAATTAATGTTGGTGTTGAAATGTTCGATGACCGTCAGTCCGTTGACGAGATATTCCACCTTTAAGTTTGGGTCAATAAGAATCGCTCGGCATATATTATATAAAATTGAAATGCCGTCTGGGCGTCCGCGTGTCGCCGCTGTATGCAAAACCATACGGTTTTTTTCCCGGGCTGGACGAAACGTTGCAAGCTTTGCGTACAAAACGGTAGACGAAGGTGGCCATCTTTTATCTCGAAATTTAACCGCTAAACGAACACCGACGATCGAATTTCGATAGTTATTTTTAAAACGAAACAGATCCGAATTTGTCGGTCAATATTCGGGTCACCGCCTCAGTGACGTGAATGAAATAAAAAAAAAAAAATGTAAAAAAAAAAAACCAGTTATTATCATTTAGTTGTACCAGACATGAAAGTACCATTATTGTTAAAAGATAAATTATCGGGAATCGTCAATAACTGCCATATACGGATAAGGGTAGAAACGAGTAAACACGGTCGATTTCATTTTTTTCTTTATTGATTTTTTTTTTTTTTTTTGAAAGTATTGAGTCCGGGAAATTCAATTAGTAATCTCATATACCTACACGAATGATTTGAAAAAAAATGAACAGACATATTTCGTACGTGGGTGCAGTCACTTTTGTAGGGGGAAATACAGACGGGAATTTAATGTACATCTGTAAGGAACGATAAACCATCGATAACGAAAAAACGATTCTGAACAGAGTTCAGTTGATAGTATGACAGTCGTCATATTATAGTCAAATTATTACAACAATGTGCATTCCTATGACAACAATGATTGTTTAGGAAAAGATTTGAAATAATAAAAACTTAGTAATAACAAAAAAATAAATAAAACCGGTTACCAATAACAACCTTATTTTTAATCTTTCAATCTTTTTTAACCTAAATAACCTGGTTTTTCTCGTAGATTTTTGAGATTTTCGTTACATTGTTTTTGTCAATAATTGTATTTGAATTTTTTTTCGTTAATTTTTAAACACAATAATAATAACAACAATACATTTTTCATCATTGCATATTTCAGTTGGTTTTTTTTAAATTTTAAATTTTACATGTTGAATTTCGGGACGCTTTTTCGGGATTCTATAAGTATTTTTACTATTTTTTTTTTTTTGTCAAATATGTTTTAATACGTTATATCTTTATTTTTATTACAGGCACGCGGTTACTATATAGTATACGACGGCGGCTTCTTGATTTTTATTATTAATAATTCATTTCCGAAAACAGGCGCCCAGCAGAGACTACGACGACGGGAAACACGTGTGGATCACAACACGTGTGATCTGCGTCCTCGCGTGCGCGAGTATAAATAGCGTACACGGTCTTTGTTTTTACGCGTGTCGTGCATACAGGGTGATTCTTTTTATCGCGAACCGGCAGTTGTATCCTACTACTATGATGGTTTTTGGTAAGAATTTGATTTTTGATTTTTTTTTTTTTTCCTGTCAGTCCGTTATTGTATATTTTTATAAAACTTGTTTACAAACACCGCGAGTGTATTTACGATCACCGTATTATTTATTTGATGATAAATTTACTTCCGGACGGGCTCTATGGCCGACCCACGGCAGTATACGAATCACTCTGTACGTCCTACATGGACCGGCGGCGCTACAACACGTGACCCCGTGCGCACGACCGGAAATCCCGGGAGGCGTCGATGCGCATGGAGATAACATGAGGATTCGAGGTGATCACAAAGCTCCAGGATAGCACTGTACTCGGTTACAATGTTTCAAACGCGTGTCAGTTCGTCCGTAACTTGCTGTTACGCTGTAAAATGTTTAATAATATCGTATGGAAAAAAGTAACCGTAATAATTTCAACAGGTCACGTTTTTCAACAATAAACTATTTCGATTTAATTCTGTAGTGTTTACCTACTAATTAATAAACGAGAGCATATGAACTGTAACTCGGTCGGTTATTAAGTCGAGTTACTATTGGGTTACTACAGCCTAGTGTTGGGTAACCGCGGTAGGAATTTGTCTACACGTTTTTCAACCGGGGGGGGGGGATTTTCGAAACGCATCAGAACCGGGAGGGGGAGGGGGGAATTTCATATTAATGTATAGTAATCCGCGACCCGTCCAAATGCACTCCAACGGGGGCGAATCGTTTTCGTACGAGAACGGATTACTGAGCACTGTCCGCGGTGCTTACAGTGTTTTACGCGACAACGAACTGAGACGTTGGTGCACGGGGTACGGGGCGCAACGAATTGTTCCGGAGCCGCGCATTGGGAATCCAACGGCTTCGGACATTGTTTTGACGAACACACTGGAACCGGCGAACTGCACAGGCGGTAACCCCGGCGACGCCGTGTGCCCGCGTCCGTAAACGCAGCGATCGCGCGGTGACGCCGAGAAAACGACATCGGAGACGCAACCCGAACGAGTGAAACGTTGAAATTCAGCGCGCGTACGCCGGGACGTTACTCGGTAGACCACCGGTCGCCGAATGTGACTGAATAACCCCGCGGCGGCCGGTCGGAATACGGCGGTGTAAACGGCACGCGCGGCGTCTTTGGAGAGCCGGAGTACGGTCGAATATAACGGCCTGACGGAGGACGTCCGTCGATAGCGACGGACGGACGGACGGACGGATGTGGTCGAAACCGTAACGTGGAGAAACAAACGCTATATTATCGTGTCGTAACGAATTGACGAGAGAGAGAGAGAGACAGAGACGGAGAGACGGAGACGGAGAGTGTGTGCGTGTGCGCACGATCGCGAGGAGCGGACGGCGGCCGCAGAAACTCCCGGGGAGACACTGGACGCCGGAAAAAGAAAAAAAAAAAATTGTATATTTCGACCGTCGACAACAATTGCAGATGCGACACGCGCACAGTGTGCAAATCGAACGTAATATTTCGCGGCATTAATAAGCCACCACGGAATATTATAATAATATCGTCGTGCCATCGTGCGAGACGACCGATCGGTACAATATGATATTATACAATTACCCGTAATAGTGTACAAAAGTCGATGTGCAGCGTCAACAACGACACGAGCGTATTGTATCGTAACGATTTACTTTGCACGGTAATCGGCGCACCCGCGTGCATTATATTATATCGTACCCGCCGGGGCTCCGGCAGACAATGATATTATCGTAACGTTATACGGGTTACGCCGCATTTGGCGTAATAATCGTTATCGCTTGGCTATTTTTTAAATTTTATTTATTTTCGTGTTGACCTCATTAAAGGCGTTAAAAAAAAATTAAAAAAAAAAAAAAACAATAACTAAGCACTTTGCGTACACATAATATACGTTCGATATAATATCCGCGGCCCGTACGAAGCATACGGAGTTATAACGTGCGCGCGCGTTATGTGTATGTATACAGTACGGAGTTTGGAAAAAAAAAAAAAAAAGGTAACGCGACCTACCGCGTGTATTAATATACGCGTATTGTTTTTTTAAAAATATTATATTGTATTTACAATTATTATTATGAAGAAGCCGGACGTGCGGTACTTTCGCGCCGCGTGGGTAGGCCTCTGTCGTAGGCGCGAAATCCGTACACACAGTAATTTATTATACTACGTTAAAAGCGGCGGTAAATCATTGGAATCCGAAAACAAATCTGAACGTAACACGGTAAACTGGCGCGTGTTTTGTTTCCCAGCATGTATGCGGGGGGGGGGGCGGAAGGTTCAACCGGGAAACCAACAGAAACAAAAACAATGTATCGTCGTTTGGGCCGTTGTCAATTATTTTTTTCAATCGACTTTCCTCGGTTGAAAATCGAATTTTGAAATGTTTAAGAGTACCAAAAGTTGTAGAGTCGTTTTCAAGTAAACTTCGTGACGAACCACAGCATGTTTTCAAGAGTTGTAGCCGTCCGTTTGCTACAGGACAGCCGGTACGATTGACACAACAGAGGTCTATTTCGATAGAAAACAAAGCCGGTATCGAATGCTCTCGGGTAACAATTTTTAATTATTTACCGCCGCGATTAACGAATAATAATTGTGCATTACAAATGTGTACGATGTAGAGCTTACGGGCAAAAATTAATTAACAACTGCATTTGAAATTAATCACGAGCCGCTAATGCCGTTCTGCGCTCCGCGGCCTTGGGTTCGGCGATGTCAATACACCTTTTTCAGAAAAAATATCTACTTTACCGCGGGTCCCGAGTACTCGCTCCCGCAGTCGGAGCAGTAAACACGATAATCCGCCATACGTTCAATATGAATATTATAATAATAATAGAATTTGAACGGATATAAACGGATTATATAGTCATTTTTCATCCGAGGACATTCGCGAACGATTTGCTCGGCCAACGATGTTATCGGCGCCTACGCGATACGATTATGATCCGTGCGGGTCCTCTGCATTTCTAATCAGCTCCTAAAATACTCGCGTTGTACGGAGTGGTGTTCGAAACCGCCGTTTCGGCAGTGCAGCTACGCCTCCTGCCCGTTCGCTCCCGAATGTATTCTGAACTCGATTCTCGTCGTAAACATGAAACGACGCGCGCGCCTACTTTATATGCATTTTCGAAATCACCCCTGCCCCCGTTATCCGCCCGAACGTCGGGCAAAATTAACAACCCTCGTTTCCGTCGATTTTTCATTCGTTCGTTTCCTTTCCGTTTAACGCGAGACACAATGCCCCGCACTCGACGAGAACGCCGTCGCGTTCGGCGCGGGTCGTCCCGGCATGGCGTCGCCGGAGCTCTGACGATTCGCGATTATGCGTATTTCGACCGCGTACACGTTACAATAACAATAATACGATCGGAACGGATTGGTAATTATTATTTACGTAAACGCGGACGGTGTAACGGCTTCTCTTGAAACGCGCGTATTAATCGTACGGACGCCGTCCAAACGAAACCCGCAGCGGTTTTTTTTCAGAAACGACGGACGAATACGGGAATTTCCGGGGGAAAACCGGCGAATCCGACCCGACGGTTGTGCGCTTACTTTTAATCCGTTCACGAAGCAAACGCGGTATAGATAGTAAACCGCGCGACCCGGTCTCGGCAGTGTTGTCCGCCCGCGCCGACGTTGGCCATTACGGTCGTCGCGCGTGCTCGCCGGGGCCCGCCCGAGATAGTCGAAAAACCCACGGGCCGCCCGAATCGCGGTAACACGTCGCGCGTTGCGTACGCAGGCGCCCGCGATGTTATTAACGCGCATCGGCGATGTGCGCGTGCGCGCGTACCGGGAACAGTATTATTACGCTTACGGGCCGGACACGATTTCCGAACATCTGGTACCGCGTGCGCGGCGTCTGCGGCGACGGCGCAAATTGAAACGTCGGGGACACACGCCGCACGTAGTGTGTACAACAGCAACGACAGTGCGTAGCACGACGTGCGCGACATAGTATTTCCATACGTACGCCGCCCCGGTGTTTCGATGGAAACTGGTTCAAGGGTCTTTGCCCGAAATTAAACACTCAACGGCGACAAAGCGCCGCGGCCGGGGAACGCGATTTGCACGTTGAACGCAACGATATTTTATATTGTCGTTTTGGACGGTTAACAAGACGCGCGTGAACTCGTACGCAAACGCAAATCGATGATGGTTGAGTACGTTTTTATTCGTGTTTTTTTTTTTTTTATCCTTTCGTATATGCGTACTGCGGTTTACTACTTTATTATTATTATTATTATCGTTTTACTACGCGCTGCAGACGTGGCGTCGCAAACAATAGCCGAGGTCTCTGCGCGTTTCGGCACTCGCGTGTTTATCGCGCGCGAAACAGAAAATTAAAATGTCCGTTAAACGCACCTACGTGTTACGGTGTCCGCACTACCGCGGAGCGGTCCGTTACGGTTTTCAGCGTTACCCCGTTTACGCGTGTTGTTCGGACGCGAGCGAATTGAAAACACTGCGGTGAGCGGACGGGGAAAAGTCGTGTCTATAACGACGCGAGAGGGTGGACGATAGAGGAGGGGAAAGGGATCGTCATGTTATTATAATATCCCGTAACGCGAAAATTTTATATTGCAATCGATTCGCTTAATTGATTTTTACGTACGTCACGACAGTGATATTATTGCGTAAATTATTCGAAGAAATTCGTGTAATGGCGGTGAGTAATATAGCGTGGCGATATACGTTTACGCAACCACAGTAATAGCAACAATAATTGAATCCCGTGAATGTTGCACTCTCAATGAAACATTTTTTTTTTTCCGTCAAACCGCTCGTGAAAAAATTCGCTAAAAAAAAAAAAAAAAACAATGCACAGTCGGGCACACGCGAAACGCGCGTACTGAACTCCGACGAGCCGCACAAATTTAACGCGCGAACCCACCGAATGCGTCTCGCGGCGATGGAAATTATTTATCGGCATCGCGGAAAACTCATCGTTCCCGTCCGATCTCAACGATCCGGCACGAACCGTGAATGACGATAACATCGATCGGTTTTTCGTCGATAAACCCTGCGGCGGATTACCCCCGTGCGTCCTCTATGAAATATCGATAACCGCGGTATATTAGGCAAACGTAACCGGGTTTTGTATTTTCGGAAAACGAATCCGAAACGATTTCCGTAAACAGACGCGCGCATTTCGTTCGTTTCGCTCGAGCTCCGCGCGTACGGCCGGTCGAATCGCCGATGATGCGGGGGACGGGAAAGGTCGTCGAGTTTCGCCGTCGTTACTTTTCCGGGACTACACCCCGGACACCGCTGCACGCCGTCGGCACTTAACAGGTTTCCAGATGTTTCCGCGGACGTGTTTCGTCACGGGCGCGTGTGAACGCATTTCGATTTCGGGACCGCGCCAAACGTCATTTCGAGTTTTAAACGACGATTTTTCATAAGCCGCGGCGTACATTAGCGGCGCGGTCAACTGCCGTACGGTAATGTAGCCCGGAGACAGAGGGAGACGGCGAGAGCCGGAGAGACGGAGAGACGGAGAGGAGTGCACAGAACGGCGATGACTTTCGTCTACAGCGTCGGGACATTCCGGGGTAGGTATGCGGCTAATCCGCGTCGCACGCACACACGCTCGTCTCTTCTATAATTTTAAACCCCGTCACGTGTGCGGCGCAGTGTGCCGCCGCGTCATCCCCTTTACACGCGGCACTCACGGTCCCCGAAAAGCGACAGTTTCTCGCCTCGATCCAAACCCAATTATACGCGCCGCGAACGTATACAGGGCGATCGGCGCGTTACGTATATAATGTAAAAAAAAAAAAAAAAAAAAACGCGCGGAATTACCGTGGTAAATGTCCCGTACACGGCGGCGACGCAGTGTGCGGCATTCGAAATTAGTGTACTGTGCGCGGGGCGGGGGGAGGGGTTTTTAACGATAAATACGAGACGTTTTTTTTTTTTTTTTTTTTTTTAACGAAATTTCTAGCGGTCGACGCGAACCCCGCGTACGTCCGCGGGCCGAAACGATTTCGAAACCGCCACCGACCTTCAACCCCGTCCCGCCATACGCCGGGTAAATCGCCGCGACACATTTAATTTCCGATCGCCCTGTATGCGGCCGCGTACGCGGTTTCTCACGGACGGGCTCGCACGCTCATCGTTTTAATAACGTACACAACACTATTATCATGAATTCTATTCGAAACGCGGTGTCCCGGCGGAGGGAAACCTGTTGGTCGCGCGGCAGCGGCGCATTTGTTATTTGTGTCGCGTTGACACAACGACAATGAGCGACACAACCCCGTCGGTCGTCCGACTATTGTGCGGGTCATGTGCGCGCCGCCCCCCGACTGTGCAGCGCGCGTAAATGTTCCGCAGTGCAACGGTGTCGCCGCAGCGCGAACTGCGCGCGTCAAACGGCGATCGGATGTCGGAAAATGTACGCGGCAACACGGCCCGGCCGACGACGTCCGATACAGTGGCCGCCCGGCGAGTCGTGGGAATTGTCCGTCCGTCGCCGCGCCGTGTAGCCCCCGCGTTACTTTTCCGACGTTCCGCCGCATTATTTCCGTCGTCCCGATACACGCCACACCGCCCCCCCCTCCCCCGTTCCGTTTGGGACTGCGTACGCGATAACAAACCTACGGCCGCGCGGGAAAGCGATCGCCGGGTACTTTCAAGTACTTTCAATCGGTACCCGTTTGAATGTGGGTACACGTCTCGTCTGCGGGGTGTTTTTCAACGGCTTTATTGAAATCAAAAGTGTCCGAGCTCGAATTTATTGCGACTGCGTCTTATTTATGGAATTTTTAACGTATTTCGCCGTTTGAATGTCGAAAGTCGATAGCGCTTTCGCTCCCGAAAATTAGGGCGACAAAAATCACATAAATGTAATGAATCGTAGGCGTGCGCGTTTCCTGAATGTTCTAGAAAACAAACTCGGTAACGGTAAAAGTCCCGGGGCAACCAGTGTACGCTTGTAAAAAACGGATCGCCCGGGAACCGTAGGTGTGCGAACGACAACGCCCAGTTGCGGTCGTATATGTGGAAATTACCGATAAGAACGCGAGAAAACAGCCGCTCGCGGCGAATCCTCGTTCCGTCCGCAAACGCGTTGCAAAAACGTACACGCGGCAGTGTGCGTCGCGGAGTATCGGACGGCACCCGCCCGCATTCTAAAGTGACGGTCCGTCCCTGGCCCCTGCCGCGGTCCACCGCGCGCTCGTGGCAGATTACGCGGCGCACGGCGCGTTGTATTGTTATCGCGCGCAGATCCGTAACATAATTACGCGTATAAATACGGGATTTTCGACGGACGGGGGAGGGGGGGAGGGGAGTCGGCAATCGCCGTCGCGTCATCGGTCGCGGGCCAGATGCCCGGGCGAAACTTTCCCGGGAAACCGGGAACGAGACGGCGAGTCGCGACGCAATACCCGCGGCGCGCCGGTTTTCGGGTTTGTTTTTACGGTCGCGGCGACGGAAGGGACGGGCGATTGATGGCGGGCGGTGGGGCTGGAGAAACAAAGCGCCGGCGGTAATCCCGACCACATGGCGACGAGCGCGGCCCCGGACGGCGGCGACCGACGAGATATTTATGGCCCCGCAGAGTTCCGAGAGCGGTGCCCGCGGCGCACCCGGCCGGTGAGAGCGGCGCGAACGGTAACGGACGGCCACGGCAACGACAATAATAATATTCGAAATTCCGACGACGACGAGACCGTGCGGCTGTGTTATTGTGTACGCGCGTACACAGTTGCACACCCCTCCCCCGGCGCTCCCGCACGCCGTCCCCCGCACCCGCCCGTCGCCGACTCCGACGGCCATCTGCTCCGCGACGGCCGCGGAGCGGTGTTTTCGTCGTCTCTACTTTTTTTTTTTCGGCGTCGCCCGCACTATTGCCACACTGTTGTACCTGCGCGTACGTAACGAGGCGACAACGGTCCGCGGGGAAAAACCGATCACAACATCATCGCGCTGCTGTCGCCGCCGCGGAACCGTACTTCCGATCTCCGCACCGCCACTCCGCCGGGCAGGGTCGTCGCGCGGTGTACTAAATAACGTTAGTGTCGTTGTTAAACGGCGGGACGGACGTTAAACTAAACGATGCCGTCACGGCGTCACACGAGCGCGCGCGCGCGAATATAGGAAAAAAAAATAAAAAATAAAAATGCGCGCCACCCCGATGCGCCGGATGTACCGGCACTGTCGCGCGTCCTGTTGTGCGCCGTCTCCGGAGATGGGCCGGGCTCGCGCGTCTCCGCCGCGCGTACAACAGGTGCCCGGGTTGATAATGCGCGCGGGCGTCTGTTAATTATGTTACGTCGCGGTAACGAAACGACAACGACGAGAACCCGATTTTTTTTTTCGGTTTTTTTATCGCGATACGCGCGCGCAACGCAGCGGGTAGGCGGGTGCCGCGGCCGTCCCTCTAATGAGACCGAACTGGCGTACGATACGCGCGCCCGCGCATTGTAAACGACGCGCGCGCGTAACGTTATCGTTTTCACGCCTGTCCGCAGACGCGCGCTGTCCGCTGTCGCGCGATTATCGTTATTACACCGGAGCGGGCCGTCGGGCACACGAAAAAATTACACAGGTACCGGGACCCCCTCCCCTCCCCTCCCCTCCCCCCCGCGCAGCCGTACGCCGTACGGGTCCGCCCGGTCGGTCGGCGTTTTCAAAAGCGATCGTCCGCGCGCGCACGATGCGTGCGACTTTCGAGTTTATCCGCCGTCGCGTTACGATCTACGTCCGCGCGTAAACACGGTTGGGGGGGGGAGGGAGTACGCACAGAGTGAAGTACGCGTTGGACGTCCGGTACAGACTGAGCGATTGCTGTTTACTGCGTTTCCGTTATGGAAAACGTTAAAACGGTAAACGGTCGAATTGCGCGGTATAGATTTGGTGTAAAAAAAAAAAAAACCATTATCTTAAAACAAAAACTCTCGCCTAGCAGCTTCGACCGAGGGAAATCGAAAAGTTAACAAGTTTACGTTTGGTCCCTATCGGCATGTAGCGCGGGGAAATTGTTGGTTTTTTTTCTCTAAGAGAGGCGAGAGCGGACGCGCTGAGCGTGCGTGTTCTGCACAATAAAAACCGCCGCGATGTATACGTAGAACGATTCGTATCATATCCCGCTGTTCCTCCCGACCACCTCAATTCTCTTAAATATGTACGCGTTTTATGACAGCCGTTGTACAGTTGCACGAAACACCCGTATAAATAACAATAGTTCCTAAAAAAAAAAACAAATTCGTCCTCGTCCCTGTCCGCCTCGTGCCCGGACGACGCGAAATCGTTCGGCCGCCACTGCGGCGGACGCTGTGATCGCGGCACCGGATTTCGCGGCTGTCGCGATAACTGCCGCACGGATGACCCGCACATCGCGCGGCGGACGCTAACAAAAACGATTTTCCATTTGCGCGACGGCGTTCCGAACCGCGGAGTCGACTTTCCGATCGAACGGCCGATTTTCGCGGGGGCCGTCCCCGTAAACGCCGTGCGCAAAACGCGAATTTCACACCGCGGTCACGCGCTAAAATTATACCTCACGTCCGAATGCGCGGTGGCGACGGGCGGCGGTACGAGTGCGTAATGTGAGTAGCGTACGCGGTACACGCGGGGGACGGGGGATACCGGCTGCGTTGTAAAAAACCAAAGTGAAACTAATTTACAGTTATTAAACATCAAACCGGCGGTAATGAACAAATTATTTTCCGCCTTTTTTTTTTCTCCTCCGTTCAAACCGGTAATTTTCAATAACCGTATATTATTATAATATAATATAGACAAACTGACGAGGGGAAGGGGGGGGAGGGGATTCCTCGTTATTAATAATAATACACCGTAGAAAAAATATTCGACGCGTTTTCATACGGTACCCGTACAATATACATTTTATACGCCTATAACCACGTGGTATTGTATTGTTCCAAATCGGTGTAATCTATTAATAATATACGGACGGCATTATAATAATGATTGTTTTTTTTTTTTTTCCTTTCATTATTGTATAATATACACAATTATCGTTTATCAGCGCGAGCAGCTCCAAACCGTTTAAACACAATTAAATTATATACACATCGTTTTTATAGCTACGATCGAGCGCCACCGCCGTTCACGGTAACACAAACGCAGCGCTCGAGACACCCGTACGGTGAGGTAGTGGTGAAAAAAACGAGAATAAAAAGTCACATTTTTTTCGGGGTTTTTTTTTTTCCCCCCGTAACAAGCGCCGGTTTCCTCGGTTTTAGATAAAAGCGGCCGTCTGACGGTAAAAGCATCCTCAAATAAAAAGAAACGACAACCGGAGAAAACGCATTAAACCGGCGGCGCGCCACTCAGGAGCAATCAGTGTCTTCGGTGAGATGTCTTTACTCGCGGACGGAGCCCGTCGTCGTCGTGCAACGGGCACGCGCGCCCCCGTACAATAACGCACGGCGATGCGTTTCCTTCCGAGCCGCGTGAAACGGAGCCGATGGTCCCGACGGTTATTTGTTTTTCCGTTATTGTGTTTCGGCGCGTTTTCCGAAATCTCCCGGGTCCGAAACGCGCGCGCTGACCGAACGCCGTTTTACATTCCACGTGCGCGGCGCACGCGGCTAAACGCGTTGACGGACGACGCGGCGCAAACACGAAACGCCGTCGTCCGTCCCGGAGCCCGTCCTCCGGGGACCCCGTGTAGCGCGGCACGTTATTCCCGTACACGGTGTTTTAGGCGCGCCGCGCGGACGCGCAGAGAAACGTCGACGCCCGCGCGTTCGACATTTACGAATCGCCTGTGCGCATGTAATACGTGTATAGTGTATCGTTTATCAGTGCGATAACGTTACCTATGTGTATGTGCGTTTGGAAAAAAAAGAAGAAAAAAAACGAAAACTATTTCGTAACGCGCGCGATTGTTTTTTGTCGGTGCGGCGACGACTTTAAACGGACCCTGCGCGACGCGCGGCGTTAAAATTTCGTCGGTTTCATATTTGACCGTACTCGCCGAACCCGACCGCGCGCAACGCCCTACCGTGTTCCGCGGCACAATTACGTACGCCGATCCGCGACGTTGTTGCGCCGTTTCCGTCACGAACTCGTAAATTACAATAGTACCATACGGTACACATGCACACGCGCATACACGCGTATGTACGCACGTGTGTGTACGCCGTCGTACAGGCGGGTGGGCACGTTACCGTTTGAAAAACCCCCGGAGACCCCCGTATCGGTGGTACAAGCGCACACGGCGCGTACCTCGCAATAATTATGTGGAAACGCTCGTGAAAATACGTATAACACACGCGTTGCGCGTGCGCGTGCGCGTTCGCCTAAGGTGCCGGTAAAATACGTTTAACGCGGTTTGTTTTTTTTTTTTTTTTCTGTAAATAACACGTATGTATAAATGCGGAGCTGCTTGTGTTTCCCAAAACGCGTGGCTTTAAAAAACGGATTCCGGAAAATGATTATTGTGATTTCCGAGACAAACGAGTGTTGCCCGGTTAAACGCGGACCGCCCGGCATGATGCGGACGGAGCCGCGCACGCGGAAACGAATCATTTTGTCGGCAAGGGAGTGTACCGAATATATTTCATGGTATTACGGACGGAAAATATTCACGCGCGCCGGTGTCGTTTGGACGCACGCGTTATTTATTTATTTTTTTTTTTTTTTGATTATTATTATTATCGTTTGGACCTATAGACCGTAGATTATAATATTGCGCGATATACGTGCATATAATAATAATAATAATAATAATAATAGTGATACGAAGACGAACAAACAGTCTGATATTATAATACAACACGTTGTACGTTGTATATATATATATATATATTAATATGATGTTAAAAAAAAAAAAAAAAAAAATTGTAATTACTCCGTCGGACGCGTATTGTATCGCGCGCGCAACCTGCACTGACTGCACCGCACGCGTGTAAATTATCAATACATAACGCGGCGATATGTTACTACGTATTTTGACCGAACCGTTGTTAGGTCGCCATACATACAGGACCGTAAAAGTAAAAACGTAGTCGGTTTTTGCATGTTATACACTCGCCGAGAGCGAAAACGAAACGAAAAACGAAACGCCCGCGGCAAAAATAAAAATAAAAAAAATATGCCGATCGGAAATTCGATTTTTTACGCTACAAGTGTAATGGTATATTGTAGCTGGGGGGCGCATAGTTTCGGACGCGGAGCGTTGCAGCGAGTGGATCTCACTCGTTATCTCGGAAAGTGTAAACTTTATCCGGAACCCGTTTTCTAGTACATTCGGGAAACAAGCTGCTCCACGATCTTATAACCGTGTTCATTATTTCGAACATCAAAAGTGGGTAGTGGTTTTACCGCCGAAAATAAGGGTGACAGATATGAACACAAATATAAGACCGTGGAGCGGCTTGTTTCTTAAATGCGCTGGAAAAGAAATTCCGGAAAATGTTGATAATTCCCGAGATAACGAGTGTTGCCCGGTTAAATCGATCGCCTGGTGTATAGTAACGTCAAACACGGTCGTATGTTCGCATTCACAGATTCGGTATCGAATAATTATATCGTAATATTTATTGTTATCGACGGTTGAAAACGCATACAAACCGCGCGCGTACTTCATTTATCATACGTGTTATATTATTAAATACATAATATTATGATGAGTTAAACAGCACTTTTTTGTGAGTTTCGTCCGTTCCACGATAATAAACCGATACTATATATATATACGGAAATACTACAAAACCAATAATATCAATATTGGTTTTAGCGTGTGATAACTCATTTATAATATATTATACATTTTTGTTTGTTTTTTTTTTTTTTTTCAAATACATAATAATAATATTATAGGTATCTCGTTATCATTACGAACGTCGATTGTTTTTATCACGAAAATAAATAAAATACACATTATTTTTATTATTATTATTATTATTATTATTATTATTATAATAATGTAGAAATGTACTTTTTGTGTAAAAAAAAAAAAAAAAACCCTCAACCTAATATAATATAGTATCTACCCATGTATAATATAATAGTACTGAGAAAGAGTCAAACACATTTCTACATACATATACAGAGTGTTTTTTTTCGAACCGGCAATTATCTCGGAGGATTTTAAGTGGATTCGATTTCTGTTTTTTCTAATCGTTATAGATTCGTTTGAGCTTTGTTTCAAAACCGTTTTTAATTTTTTAACACTACTCCAGTAGTAAGAAAAGTTGGAAAGGGTTATAGATGGGTAATTTATTACCCTTTGCTACTCTTCCGGTCTAAACTGTTTTAACTCATAAACGGTAAATCTGATATTAGTGTTGCGTGTATCAAAATGTCTAGACAAATATTCTCTATTCAAATCTGTGTTCAAAAGGGACGGTTCTTATATGAAAATCAAAAGTATGTACATATTTAAGGTACATTGAGTAAGGGTAAACAATTAAAAATGGTTTTAAATTGAAGCTTAAACGATTCTATAATGGTTAGAAAAAACAGAAATCAAATCCACTTAAAATCCTCTGAGATAATTGCTGGTAAAAAAAAAAAAAAATCACTCTGTAGAAACTATTTCTTCGATTTCGGGGATAGGTTCGGTTTTTTTATTTTTTTTTTTTTTTTTACGACGATCCACAGAACGCGTATACTTTATATATACTCTAAACCTAACCTAAAAGTGTACCAGATACTCTAAACACGACGGCCGGTATATATATATATATATATATGTATAGTATCTTCGAGTAACATAAATTCGTTTTTTTTTTTTTTTTATGATATTTGGTTAGTTTATTTCCCGTGTGAGCAATAATACTCACGTGCACATATACACAAACAACTCCTCCAAAGTCCTGTAGTATTACTGTTTATACAGTCGTGTTTATCGTTATGTCATAATATTGCGTAGGTATGTATACCGAAATAATATGAAGGAAAAGAAAAAGATACAAATCCAGAGACGAATCACATTATATTATTGTAGGCGAGTACCTATGATATTCAAATGTACAGCCGAATGCGAGGCGGTTAACAATAATTATTATTATCAGCCCCTATAGTACATAGTTCAAAATTGGAAGTGCGCACAGTGCACGGTGTGTATCATAACATAACGATTAAAAACCATTTGAGTTCGTATGCGAGGAAAATACCGTCATACAAGAAACTGTATACAAATTAAAATTCACTTTGTATTAAATTGAATGCATTCGACAAAGCAAAAAGAGTTCATTCGTACGCCTTGATTTGCAGCAGCGACAATGCCGCATGGAGGTGTTTTCCGGGAAACGACAGTATCGGGGACCTATCCAAAGGGGACCTAGAGGCACAGCCCCCTCCCCCCCAGAAATATTATTTCTCCGATTTTTGTATGTGAAAATAGTATACATAGTGTATTATATTATATTTTAATTGTATTTGTGTTGTAAAACAATTGTTGCCCCCGCCCCCCCCCTTACAGATCTTTGCTCTAGATCCGTGCCCGATACGGATGTAAAATCACAAAAATGTTGACGAAAATTAATGAACGGGAAATAAGACTTGGGTATCGTTGTTAACGACGCATTACGATTTTTATTGTTATACGCATTCTCATCGTAGGTACCTGTACAATATGATGATGGTATTCTGTACAATACGCAGATACCGACTCTTTATAATATTATTATAATTTTATCGCGTGCTGTTGTTTCGGCGCTGCACGTGCTCCGAGACCGACAAAAAAAAAAAAAAAGTCGTAAATTTATCAAAGAACCAAAATAACACGTACGTGCGCGTACCTATGTACACTTAACTCCGCGATACCTAAAAAAAAAATATCGTATTTAAATGTTAAATTTGTATCGCAACGAGCCGAGTTGTGACCGTATTGTTATTATTATTGTGGTTATAAGCTATGTGTACTACAGCTATGTTGCAAATATTATATTTTTACATGCCTCTCCCCCTCCCCATCCGCGGTTTCCTATTAAAATAATATCAAATCTGAACGTATGATATTTCTGCGTATTTTCCCTCCGCATTCTTTCGGTTGTTGTTGTTGTTTTTTTTAACGATCAGTCATAAAAAAAAAAAAAAAGTATATTAGGCATAAACAACTTGACTTATAGGACGCACGTATATTATACTCGTATATACGTCGCATAGTCGCAGAAAAGACATTTTTTTATTATTATTATTATTATTATTATTATTATATAGTCATTGTTCGAACGGTCTGATAAGGCAAATATATTATATTAACATATGCAAACAAGTGAATGTAATTTATTTTGTTTTTTAAGTCGTGTTTTCGTACATGGCAGGTACCTACCAAAGTGGTATTATAAGTATGGCGTACGCCTAACACTCGTGGTACAACACGTGTCGGCAGCCGTATCTGTTAATATTTTACGGCGTATCTAAAGTATTGAAATTGAATTCCAACGCAAAAAAAAAATAATAATAATAATAATTTAAAAAAAAAGACTAACAATATATAGATAGCGGTACATCTAATGTGTATTTCATCATTCGGTAAATAGGTTTTAAGTACCTACAGGTACTCAGTATAGTAGGGCCCGGATTTATATGCATTATAGAAAAAAAAAACTATCGGAAAATGCTCTAAATCGATCCGAAAATGATTTTAAAATGTGGAAAACAGTAAAAAATACATAATAAAAATGTTGTTAGGTTTCACAGTTTCATATAAATAGAACGCCATTGACAATCCGCGATATACAACATACCTATATGTATGTAATATCTATAATAAGACAAATTTCTTGTAAACAAAATTCCTCGAGATAATGTTTCGAATTACCTAAATTTAAACTATTATTAATCCGTATAATATGCGCATTTGAATAACTAACAAAATGATAAAAATAACTGTAAACACTAAAAAATCACTTAAAGAACGCAAAATAAAAAAGAGCTGATACTGGGGACGGGTGCGGCCACTGTTGTAGGTGAGAAGTTGGGAAGGTAGAATACGTAAGCTTATTTAATTTATTTCTTTAAGCAATGATAAACAATTGCTGACGAAAGACGATTCCGAGCGCAGTTCGGTAATACATAATTTGAAGTGTCGTAATTTTTTATAACCTAACCTTCCTACGTTTTTTCCCCGATTATTATGAAAACTCATACAAAAATCAAAAAAACGAACTGCATCATTAGAAAAAAGTTTAATAATTCAACAAAAAAGGCCATTTGTCGTTTTTCAATTGGAGCCATGTTTNTAACAAAATCGTGAAAAAATCGTATTTTTTTCCCGATTAATCGATTTTATTTTAAATATTGTTTTGAAAATCAAAAAATGACTTGTGTATTTACCAAGTAGATAAAATTGACTTTCAAAAAAGTTGCTACACTTATACATCGGAGCAAGTTTTCTAGGATTAAGTGGTCTACAATATGTAAAAAAAACCAAAATACAAAGTACTATTGTAAAAAAATTTAAAAAAGGAAAATAAATCATCCGATGATTTTGGAAATTTTATCACGTCTCAAGTCTAATATAAGTATTATTACAGAGTTTCAAGTCTCTCTACGTGTATTTATAACCAAAATACAACAAAAACTCCAAAAAATTAAAACCATTTTTAAAGCTCAAAATAGCTAAAAAATGTTGGCAATGACAATATAAGAAAGTAAATCAAAAAGGCGACAAAAAAATGTATCTTGTGATCTTTCGATTAAATCGTTTATTCTGGTTAAAAACGTCGTCCGTGTTTTTATAAAATAATAAAATCGTGAAATTGTACGTTTTTCCCGCTTAAGTGATTTTATTTAAAAAACAGCGTCGAAAATCAAAAAAAAACCTGTTAAAGTACAATCTAGACAACTTGGGTTTTCAGAAAAGTTGCTACACCGAAAAATCGAAGCAAGTTTACTAAGGAAAAACGTGTCCACAGACTAGGAAAAAAGGAAAAAAACATCTTAGTAAAACCAATAGTTCCCCTCGCTACGCTCGGAATCTAAAAGTTTCACTTTTGAAATATCTGTTATTACACGAATCGAATTATTATTATGCTTACATATTGAGTACTTGGAAAGCACTATTGGCTTGGATCTGCACCAAAACGAAATTTCACTCTGCATTTCGGGATATTTTTTTTAGTGATTATCCACTGCGTTAAAAAAATGTCTACGTTCAAAATAGACCAAACCTTCCCGTTAACTTTTGGACTCTCCCCGGTAAACCAACCTCCACAAATGAGCGTGATAGTATTGCCTAAATAAAATAAAATATTTTCTTCGACCAATTTAATCTTCACCGTTTATTTTCCAGTGGACGCCGACGCACCACTGACAGCAATGAGCAAAATCTCACTCTGCCGGGTGTCCAACTGCTGACCAAATCGTGTGTGCATGTATCCATTTGGACGCATCAACCTCCTAAAAAAACGCCTCGAAATCCGGGCCCTATTTGTTCCCCATTGATAAATACTCTGTTTGTACCTAATATTTCGCAGTCAAAACATATTTTTGGAACCTATACAATTATAACATAATATTTCATCGGAATATGACTCGTATATAAAACGATCGGTAAATATAGTGAGTCGACGAGTAGTGTATCTGTTTGTAACGTTTGAATTTGTTTGTATTTTTTTTTTTATTATGCTTAAATGCGTCCTACACTGCGTCGGAAAAAAAAATAGTATACAGGCATGTTGATTCAAACGTAATACCGATTCCAAAAGAGCAAATTAACGACCATTATAATAAACCCGAACACGCGTGTATTATATGCGTTATTAACGAATGTGATTCTAGTTGTGTGTACGAACTTACCTACCTAACTATGTGTAGGTACGATGACAATCGGTTATTAATTGAGTGGGTACCCTATAACCACCTACCGTCGTATAATAATAACGACTGTTGCAGCATAACAACCATGCATAGGTACGGTTACCTACCAAAGGTAAATATGCGTACAGAGATAATTGAGGGAAAATAGAAAACCGTGATGCGTAATACACACGGGATGGGATTTTGTAGAGTTGACAAATACTGAAGTATGCGCCGTACCTATGTATAATATGATGTGATTAATACGCCCTAAGAACATTAATACTGGTCGTACACATATTTCAAATATTGGTAAATATATTTACTATAAATTTAATAAATAACTTAATTTTATGTGTACTAAAAACACACAAAAAAGCGCTTAAATCGTCAAAAAAACACTTGAATATATTTAAAAATAACCAAAAGTATTAAAGAGGTTCTAAAGTCCCCTGCACTCTAATGGTTCTAAGCCTTTTAAATAGGTACAATATTTTCTTACATTGACAAATGATTTACACGAAGCATTTTTTTTTTTTTTTGTATAACACGTAGAAATATATTTCAAGAGAATTACTTTGTAAATAATGATTTTTTTAATGTCAAACAATTATTTTTAATGAGCTAGAAACAATAGATGAGGAAAATTTTAAACCCCTCTAACTTTATTGCTCTTTTAAATAATGTTTAAGTGATTTTTTTTTTTTTTTTTTAGTGCTTTTATGACGTTTTTAAGTACATCCGTTCCCTAATAATATGTTATTATATTATAACCCATTCAAATTGACTAAAAAAATATCGCTGTTGAATCGGGACGTCGTCGAGTGTATCTGTTCAAAATTATCCGGGAAGGAGGAGGATATAGTAAAATTCGAACGAGAGGAAAACGCAAATTATAAATCGTACGTATCGCGGCGAAAATCTGCAGCTACTATTATATACGAAACGTGGAAAATAGCACCAAAAAAAAAAAAAAAACTATAAACGGTTCAAAAACACTGCGAAAAATGTCAAAACAAAATTGTTACATTCGTAATGTCGTAAAACAAACGCGCGGTAAAACGGTATTATTTTTGAAAAAAAAAATGTTATAGAAAAACTGTCGGGAAACTAGACATTGGTTTGCGAATAGTCCGATATTAGAATAGGTTGAGAACATTTTTTTTTTTGACTAATCCGAAAAGTGTTATTTTTTTTTTTTTTTGAGAAAAAATAACACCCACACACGTATCCAGTAAATAAAACCTCTCCGTTCGTCCACTCGGAATCTATACGATTGAATCGCTAATAAAAATAATTTTAAAAAAACCTCATACCAAATTGTATTGTTTTTTGTTTCTATTTCTATTTCTATGTCATTAGTAATAACTTATTACTATCGACCCAATAAAACCGTCTTCGCGCAATGCAACTCGGCAATATTCATATTATTACAGTGATAATACGATTATGAATGGTGGTAAATACATAAATATTTATTATCGATTTTCGTGGAAATTAACAAATGCACGCACGCGTTTATATTCCTATGTATATTCGATAACGTGTGCACCGCAGTGTATTACGGAAAAAAAAAAAAAAAAAAAAAAAATTTTAAAATAATATACCGTATAATACACTCGTACTGTACACTGTGCGGCAGTTCAATATTTATGTAACTCGTGAGTATACTAATAATACGTATAATATATTATTTTAATCGCGATAATTTAAAATGTTAAACATAAACATAAAATTTTAGAACGGGGAAAAAAAAAAACAAAAAAAAAACGAGAACGTTATTATTATTGTTATTATTTTTTTTTTATTATTATTATTATTATTATTGTTATTGGTTCCACGAAATCCGTTCGGGTCGTATTTTTTCCGAAAATTGAGTTGTATTGCGTTTTTTTTTTTTTTTTTATCTATTATTCGTATACGTTTCCCGCCACCGTTTCACCGGCTCTCCCTCTGGACGAAACGAGCCGAAACTCGGGAATCACGCGGTGCCGCCCATCGTTTCGTAGGCGCATTTCGAAATGACGGAATCCCGGTCGGAATTCATTATACGACTTTGTACGCCCCCGACAGATCCGACACCGAGTGTTTCACCGGGTTTGTAACCGTATAACATTGCGTGTTACGTTACAATCGGTATCGTGATACGTAATATTTCTATACGTGTACGTATACATACGCACGGTGGTGTAATAGAACCATTGGATTTGTCTTTAGCGGGTGCGGGGGTGTCGGGGTGTCTCGCCCCGCGACCAGCGAACAGTGGTTCAGTGTGCGACCGACACGCGTACCGCACGTGGGAACACGGAACAGCGCGTTTCGCGCCGAAGTAACGTAATAATTGTAACACGCGAATTCGATTGCAAATGCCCGTTGCTGCAACAGCCATTGCCGGCGGCTAAACGCGTTCGTTCGACTAGGGCACACCCTGGGGAAATGTTCACGGCGCGAGTTCCTCGGCGTCTCGATTGTTCAGCGAGACGCGAAAAAGCGCGTGCCGATCGTTGACGTTTCACGCGTCCGCTCGCAAATCGGCGTACACCGACGGATAATGGACCCGGCCACACGGTCGCGCGGGCGCGCCGTTAACTCGCCTTTGCGTTCGCAGTGGCGATACGCTCCGGCATCGGGACTTGACGCCCGAAAACGGTTCCGCCGAACGCAAATTTCCCACGTCGCGACGGCGGCGCACTCGGCGGACAGCATTCGTTAGAATTTCAGAAAACAACGGCGTAATATCGGTGGGAAATTCAAATTTAACGAAATATATTGGTACGGGATTTGCATCGTATACCGTGCAAATAATCTCGTCTTCGTGAAACGCGTAATGATAGTTACCTCGCCCAAAACCCGACCGGACACGCGGAATGCCATTGGCGTTACATACGTGCGCAGATGCGGGACGCACGGTGTCAGTGTAACGAGGCCCTTTCGTTGCGAAATATTCGCGATAGAATTTAATGAAGACTTTTATTCTATTCGCACTCGACGTATTTCGACACGTCGACGGGCATTGGGTAAATATATTTTCGCAAAATAATAGAATATTATAATCGCCCAGTCGGTGAATAATAATTTACGAAACCAGTTTTTCCTTCTTTTAATCGGGTCGATTAGACTGTAATGTAATGTGTAATTTTCTCCGCACGTCAAATTTGTTTTAAATTTAATAAAAATAAAAAACCGGTTTAAAAAAAAATACACCGCGGTAAATATGTGACCGGAGTTTCGAAATTTCGAAAAACCATCGAAAATAATATATAAATACTGATTATTATAGGCAAATTGGAAGGAAAAAATCAAATAAATAATTACATCCAAAATAACAAAATTTGCAAATCGGAGCAAGAATTCTGATGGTGTATAATATATTTTGTGAACATAGAACAAAAAACATGTATCGTAATAAATTCTAAAAAATAATACATGCACAGGGTGTACCGATATGACCGCATTGCGATATCTCAGAAAGTATTAACTTTTTTCGTAAATTTTTTTTTTGACAATTTAAGAAACAATAATAGCAGCGCTAAAATGTTGCGTTGCCCTTTTAATTTGTCGGCCTTATTTTCGCAGGTAAACCGGCTGCACACTTTTGATCTTCAAACTGTTATACCAGCTGTATTGATTTTGGTGTTGAAATTTCGACCCAGACGACAAGGACGTCCAAGAAGCAGATGGATAGACGAAACTAAGAAAGATCTACAACTGATGGGGATTTCGGAACACTGGAGGAGTGTTGCCGAAGACCGCGATGAGTGTAGAAGAATTGTTTCGGAAGCCAAGGGCCATCATGGCCTTGGTATAGAGGTTATGAGAAGAGAAATAAGAAGTTGAAATGTTAGCAGTGGACCGTCGTCGTTTGTTGCAGCGGCACGAGACGCGGCGTTTTAATAGTTTTCCGTCTGCTCTCCCTCTGTGATGTCCGAGCTTACCAGCGGAATATCTCGTCGACGTGTTAACGGGAATACGGAAAAACGTCAGCACCGAAACGTGTTTAAATGAATAGCCCGTCTGTTCGTGGAATTCGTATGTAATCGTATACAGGTTTGAATGTCGTTTGAATATCGGACATGGTTCGTCCGGTTCACTACTGAAAACAAGGGCGACGATGAACAACGGAAACGTAACATTTCGGAGTTACGCTTGTTCCGTAAGCAATTGTCGAATGAAAAAAAATTCCGAACAAAATCAATGTAACGTACTTTTCAAGATATATAATCGCCAATGGTCGTATCCATTCGCGGGACGCTCCGTACAGTAGAGCATATTTGAACTTTTAAGATCGGATGCGGATTATTATTTCTCGTTAAATCGGCTACGAGTTTTCATACGATAATAATACGCCGAACCTATAATTCTCTCAGCCTCCCAATCGAGAAGAAATAATATATATAAGGAAATCGAAAGAAACTGCGGTACAAGTGCCGCGATACCGGATTCCAATTATTTACCATCACAATAAGCGCGTGTAATACTTTCATTAAACGCCATGTGTCTTATTTAACTTTTTCTCGAGTGTCGTATAAAACACGACAGACGAAACGTTCATTTTTTTTTTTTTTTCACAATGTATATTTTCAACAGGACACTCTCATATACCTATGCATACCGAAAAAATACAATAATCGAGATCCGTACAATATGAACAAGCCAAAGAATCTTCTTTCGTTGTACGCCTAATCCTACAAATGAACCTAATTAAAAAAAAACCTAACCAAACCCTACAGATAATTTAATCGTTTTAACAAAAAATGTATATTTTCGCGGTAACAATACAATAATAATAAAAAAATAAAAACACCGGACACGTTTAGCACGACGGATGGGCCACTGTTGTACGGATGCAAAGCTGGGACGGTGTAGGATATAGACGGGAATTGAATTTATATCTGTACATTATACGCAATGATAAACCATAACGGCTCACGAAAAAAACCAAGTTTCTTTTATTTGCCCGTTTTTCCAATACGTTTTTTTCCCCCGACTGTAATGAAAATCGAAAACTGACCTCGCTATGTAGCGTACACCGACCAGGCGGAATTTTCATTCGGAAAAGGTTGGCGCGCCTTTGAACATCGGAACGAAAATTCTGTTGCGGAAAAAGTTGCTCGGGGTATATAAAAAAAAAAAAAAATAAAAAAAACGCATTATTGTACCGCCAATCGCCGATACATTCCTCGCTACACGGTCCGAATCTAAAAAAATCAACCATTTTTCATCATCGCCACACAAATAAACGTCAACACGCCTACATCGAAATAACCGACGCGCGTTAATTTAGCCGGTACCCGTCATTGCCGCGTTTCATTTAACATCGTTTTCGCCGATGCACAATACGCATACTGTACTGTTTAGCGTGTACAGTTCAGGGGGAGCGGACGAGGGCAGTCGAACGGGACTGACAGTGTTGTCCGGCGGCGCCGAGCGCGCACTTAGGGCGGCGCAATTGAACCGCCGAAAATTGCGGGCGGTTTGGACGGGGGGTCCGGGGGTAGGCAGGTAAAAACATTCGGCCAACATACCTGGTCAATACTATACTGCTAGGCACGGTAAGTATTTTAATAAAGCGCGCCGGGTACACTCAAGCAGTTACCAGTTACGAGCGTCGCGTATTACCCGGGTACTGCGTTATTACAGTGTTGCACCACGTTAGTAGCCCGTATCGCCCGTAACCATCTGTCGCGTTCCGTAAATGCACGCGCAGACGTGGTACGAAAACGTTCGCGAACGCTGAACAGTGACCCGTTTGGAATCGGACACATATTCGATTAAAATTCAAAAATGACGATGTCACAGTTGTGTAATGAACGAACCGCGCGTGGTGTTCGTTGGAGCGGATTCGTGCGGTTCAGTGTTGTGGGTGTGTGGGTATGGGCTTTGGTTTGGAGTTCAATCGCCATTTTCGCGTGCACTCGGCGCCACTGAACGCTGCGCATACGAAAACCGTACAAACCGTACCCGTTTTATGTAATATTGTTGTTGTTGTTATTACGGGTTATGTACCTGTTTAATATTACGCTCGTAATTTGTATTCGTCGCCCGCCCAATAATGGTAATAACGATAATATTGTTTCGTTGATAAAACGTACACGGCGACCTGTTACGATACGATTAAAATATTACCTATGTTGTCAGTATCGTGTCTATAGACCTGCGGACAGTCTGACCGTCCGTGATACTGCCGTGTCCGCGTGAAATCGCTCGCACCGGAGTGCCCTAATGTATGCGGCAAACAATTAATACATTAACCGGGAGTCCGTAACCGTCGTAACCCGTGTACGGTTATTGTTACGATGACAATAGGCATGCGCCCGTAACCATTCGGTACCGAAATATTGTAATGTTAAATGGCAGTTGCGCCGCGCCGGCGTTTACGCGTTTGTCGTCGGCAACAACTCGTCACACAATACGTGTGCCGGTGGCGGAGAAATTGTTTCGCACACGGAACAACAGCGAACCCGCGAGAACGACATTTTAATTGTTATTATTATTATTATTATTATTATTGGTCACCTGCCCCTGCCGTGCGTTGGGATGTCGACGGGCGAGCAAATCGGACGTTCGCGGGTCGCGGTAACGTGACGTGAGAATATTACAATGCTAATTCGACTTACCCAAATCCTCGACCAGCCGGAGCATGACACCGCCGATGTGCAGGTCGCCTTTGACGCGGAGTGTCCGTTCCACCTGTAGATCGGACACGTACACCTGGAGGTTCCACGAACCGTCGCCGATTATGAACCCGTTGGTGGCGGTCATTTTTTTTTTTTTTTTTTTTTACGGTTAAAAATCGCCGGCTTTTACGAAAATATATATATAAAAGAAAAAAAAAAATGCGAAATCCTCGAAACGCGTCCAAAAAACGAAGAAAACGACGGGGTGTTTTTCTCACTTTCTCTGTCTATCCCTAATCAATCGGCGTTTGCAAATGTTGTTTTACGCGAATTTCGCGACCGCTCGTCCGCGGTGAGTGTATGCGAAAAGCGCGTGAAAGTCTTTTTGGCGGAACGGCGCGCCGCGATCAACGGCGGTGAGTCGGTCGCATGGTCCGGAAAATGCGCGTCGCGTGCGTGTCTCGTGGTGCTCGGGGGTCCGGGGGAAATAAAAAAAAAAAAACGGCAGAAAAAAAAAAAAAAAAGAAAAAAAATCTAAGAATATATTACGACGTCGATGTATTCAAACTCGAACAATGCGTCGCGTGCGCCGAGCAACAACTGCTACAGGACCGTGGACGGCGGCTGCCGGATACGTACTGAGGCACCGGGCGGCGAGCGTTCCTACTCGGCGGCGGCGACGACGTCGTCGGTGTGGCGGCGCGGCGGACACGTGATAACGCGGTCGTCATATAAACATTATTTTTATTTTTTACTCTTTCCAACGACGACGACTACGACGACGGCGAAGAGAGCGCTGCGAACCGCGCCGCCGCCTCCGTGGCCGCGGCTGTTCGCGGCCCGCGATGGGGGTGGTGGGGAAACCGGAGGGGGCACAAACCGGCCGCCACCGCAACGGCGGCGGCCAAAGACAAAAATGTGACCTCGACTACGCAGCCACCGACGCCGCCGCCGCCGCCGCCAACCGCCGCCATATACACGCGGTCGACCACCAGACGGAGACGACGACGACGACGACGACGACGTTGGACACCGCGGCCGCCGTCGTCGCTGTCGTGATGGTCCGCCGCCGCGGACAGAGAGTTCACGCGCGCGAACCGCGGCCCGCCCGCAAGATGCTACCGCGGTTACCGGCGGCGGTCACACGTCTCCGACCGCCGGGGTCGTATTGTTGTTGTTTATTATGTATATGTAATGTGTATTATATTTTTTTTTTCTGTACCCGGCCACAAACATTTAATTTATTATTTTATAGTTACCTATACCCACTTACCTACCTACCTGTACGCGTAATATAGGTATCGTTCACAATCGTTAATAAAATGGTCAATAATCACATAGGCCGGTAATGGGTATACAGGTGCAGGTACTCACGGTGGTTAAAGTGGGGGAACGGAGACCACTTTCTCATTTCGGACAAAACTGTCCGTCCCCTTTAATTTGAGTCTTTAAAGTCCGGGGGACGCTACATATAAATTATATGGTTAACGTCACCAAGGTATTTCCAAAAATGAATTCCTTTAATATCTTAATGTATCTTTAATGTACGTCACACTCTCGTTTTACTTTAATTTTATTGAACGGACGTATTATGTGAAGGGTAATTTTTTTTTTTTTTTTTGGAGGGGCAATTTTATACCCTATTAGTATGGTTTTTACGGACAAAGTGTGCATGGGAGAAAAACGTTTAGGATTCTTGTTTAGTCGTTTTCGCGGTGAGTTTCTAGAAAGGTTAATTGGGATTGGGTCGATTCTCGGCGACGGCCCTCATTTCTTGGTAAATATAATCTTCCCTCAGAGTTTTTCCCACTTTAATCACTGTAAAGGTATTCGATTTGGTAACTCAACAATGTTCAAATGAAAAATGTAAATGTAACGCGTCAGGGAAAAAATGCAATTCAAAATGCCATTATAATAATAATTGCAAAAATAAATAATTAAAGTGACGATATTTGTGTATCGTTTAATATAATTATGATCAAAAATGTAATGCTGATCGTAAAAACAAATGTTTGAGGTAATAATATTCAGCTAATAAAGTAATTAACAAGATTGATAAGATTCGAAAGGTTTATAGTTATAAAGTAAAAAACTTTTGGTTTATATTGCCCAAGCTTTACTTGGCAATTCCATACAATCCGGGCAATGTATAACTTTGCCTACATTACCCGCCATAATCGGGCAGTACCATAATACCGGGGCAATGTAAACATTGCCCAAAAATCTACTTTGCCTATAACATATATATTATAGTATACTAGTATCATAATCGTGCGCAAGATTTTTTTGAGGGGCGTGCAGAATAGATTTAACAGGAATAGTATTTAAAGTGGGGAAGGACCAGTGGCTGATTTTCAGTATGATAGGGTGCAGGGGGTGTGGACCCTCTCCCAGACACCGATAAAATTTCAATAAAATATCGTCCAAAAAAGGGGCATCTATTAATAAAAACACCTTTTAAATAATACTAATACTTATTTAATAGTTACCTATTTTTCCGTTTTTCCTACGTTTTTTCCCATTTATTGGGAAAATCAAAAAAAGACCTCCCTAAAGTACCATTTCAGTCAGATTTCCTTTCAGAAAAAGTCCCTATCATTGTAAATTGGAGCAAAATTGATGATAGAAAAGTTATCTTGCTCCGCTAAGAATCTAAAAACAAAACAATTTTTCTCGTAGAAAACACAGTTTGCATAAATTAAAAACATTGAAATCGCGATAACACCGAAGTGCGCCGTAAATATTTGTCGGTTTTTCTATAATTTTGTTTCCGATTTTTCCATACTATTTTGGAAACCTCTTGGAAAATCAAAAAGTTATAAAATTTCCTTTCAGAAAAGACACTACACATGATTAATCGGAGCAAGATTTCGGTTCGAAAAATTGTTTACAGACAAAAAAACGCAAACATCATAGTAAAATTAATATAGATCCCTCGCTCCGCCCCGAATCTAAAAATGTATAAAAGGTATTTATATTTTAGTGTAAAACTATAAGAGCTACTAAATTCCGAATCGAAAAAAAAACTAAAGACTGATGCGTTTATAATGGTACTTATATTTAAAAACGAAATATTTTTTTTATAAAATCCTACAAAAAAATGTTCGAGCGCACAACTCTCGAATATTTATTTATATTCTCTTCTGTCCGTTTGTGAATTTTAACGCACGCCCATTGCATTGCCGTATGGGACGGAAATCTACCGGGAAAACTCTCTAATTCCCGGTGGGCCGATCGTACACCCTTGGATAGATATTCCGTATTTATAAATGTACATCTGTTAATAGACATCATAATAATATGTCTTGTACACGTATTATTTCAAATAGTTAAAATATGATAAATAAAACGTATTAAAAAATTATTATTGTAGATTAAGTTAGTTAGGTAAAACATTAGAATTTAGAACATTATTAGGTTGAAAAAAAAAAATAAATATAATTAACATGAATATCTCGAAATAACTTCTAAGAGAAAATTAATGGCGACCTTCGAAAACTGAATATCTCTCCGTACGGATAATCGTCATTATCGACGGTTCATTACAAAATAATCCGCCCTATATTTATGTACAAATTCAAATTGTTAAATTGTTGTTATAATATTTCATAAATCATAAGCAACAATATGGCATGGAGTAATATTTATGTTGTACCTTCGATAACACGGTAGCTAACCTCAATAACACCTACCATTCTGAATGTAATAAATCTTTTGTATAGATCATATGCCATATGTGTAAAATAGCCTATAGATTATAATAATGTGTACGTGTGCACGGCTGTTAAATAATAACTTGGTTATACGGTTATTATTTATTAATACAAATATAATAAATTAATTTTACATTTGATTTTGACGAGTTCAACGATCATCACGACTGATATCTGTTGTTAATGTACCATTTAAATGCTGTATTGGTGCAATGTATATTTTAGACATGATATGCGGCTAACAGTAGGTATACACACACACGGTCAATAATATATAGGACACATCATAGGTTCGCGTATTTCTCGCACAACACGAATTATAATAGGCTTCATATCATATAAACGGTCATTAAATAGACATCGTCGTGATAGTTATACGCGTAAGTACCTACCTATTTCGAATTACCAAACAATTCAATAAACCGTTTAAAATCATAAATTATAAGAATAACTGCACAAATACCCACCAACCATTAAGCGGTTATTACAAATGTTATAAATTTGCGATACGAAATCACGCAGAAACGTGCAAAATCCCTAAACGAATAGTCCAACCTATTTCATTATCAAGACGTTCTTATTAATTTAAACGAATTTCACATACATTAACACGCGTTTACGTATCGAGACCTTCATTGGGAGTTAATACCTATATGGACATATTTCAAATTACGAATTCACTCAAATCAAAACCGAATAAAGTCGTTTGTTAGATGCAGTAGCTGCTGTATAATCAGAGCCGGGCCTTACAGTGGAGCGAGGCCTGGCGCAAATTGTTTTAGACTAGGCCTAAAGTAAAGACCTTTTTTTTTTTTTTTTTTTTTTGTTTTTCTTATTTGTTAGTCGGCTGACGGTAATTCTGATTTTTTATTCGGCAAATTGTTCGTTCTGATAAACAATGTACAATATGAAGAATAAGAGTTAAAACTGCCCGTCAATGTTCAATTTCCTTTCTAATTAATGCTAAATTTTGTTGTTTTTTTTTTTTCATTCTTATTTCACAACTAATCTATTTTTCAGTATTTAGTGAATGATTCCGAAAATGTTCATGACCTTTTATTCTCTCTGAAATGTGTTTCCAATCATCAAGTCCATAATCTGCCAAGTCACTAGCACATGAATTTCCAAAACGTCTACAGCAGAAACAATAGACTGCATCTTTTTTTCTTTGAATAAATTAACCATCTACGGTTAACTTTTCACCATTGAGTAAAATTCTATTATAATGATCAACTGTGAATTTTCTCTTTACCACATCTTCACTAGATTTTATTGGAAAATCGTAATTTCATTTGGACCTTTTTCGATAATTATATCTCTTTCTCTAATGCTTAAACTACGAGGTCGTTCACCGAGGCCATTTTATTATTACACAGTATAATAATACAATAGGTATTATTACAGTCATCATTTTTTTCGTTAAAGTATTGTGAAGATACGAGTAGAAAAAAAAACTGATATTTTTCTCAACAGTAGGATATTAAATAGGGTACATAATTGAGTTGTTATCTGTACGCAACGATAAATTATTACAACCAGAAAACTGTTCTGAGCAGAGTTTGATTAAACACGTTTCGTTAAACTTGAATTGGAAATTGATAATTACAAAATAAATTCCATTATTAACCTTGTTTTTCATTTATAATTTATTAGCGTCTTTAGACAACTAAATAATTTTCACATAAAATCGGAAAATAGCAGGCGAAATTCCTTGAATTTCACGATTTTCATTAAAATTTGAAATTTAAAATCTGT